TTATGTAAAAATTTCAAATAAATATTCAATAAAGATAGAGGCATGGCCTCACTATTAATATTAAAAAAAAAAAAAAATTATAAATTTTATATTACCTAAATTTTGTTCATTAATAAATGATGATCTTATTGTTGATACTGAAATATTTGGACTATTTTCATCTAATAAAAATTTTATTAAATTTATATAAATCATAAATAAAATATATCTTTATAAATTTGTTAATAATAAATTTAATATATTTATATATTTGTTTACCTAAAGCTTCATTTAAAAAAATTTTATCTATAGATTTAAATTTATAAATAAATAATATTATAATTATTATTTTTAATAATTAATAAATTAAACTTACCATTATAATCTATATCATCTAAATTATTTATATATTCTGGTAATTGATAATTTTTTCCAATTTCATCTTCATATAAAGAATTATTATTTAATAAGTTGTTAATTAATGTAGTTACTTTATGTAGAATACCAAAAACAGCTTCATAAGGTGTACAATTTAGAGCTCTACAATAAGATGTATTCATTGCTAATAAAACATGACTTAATCCTATAGTCCAGTTAGGATTATTTGTTTCACTTATCCAGCTACTTAATTTATTTTGTAAAATACCATTAGCTCTTTCAACAGATCCTTGTGATTCTGGATGTCTAGGTCTACCATGTATAATTTTAATTTTAATAGGATTCCATAAATCACATAAATCTTTAATTAATTCTGCAGTAAATTGTGGTCCATTGTCACAATGCAAAATTGATGGAAATCCAAATAAACCAAAAATTTCAAATAGAAAACTTGCTACTTCTAAAGAAGTACTAGTTTTCATAGCTCGAGCCCAAGAATATCTAGTAAAATGATCTCTAGCATGAATAATATATTTAAAATCATCAAAAGAATTTTGACTAAGATCTATAATATCAATCTTTAATAAATTTAAATTATTATTAATTATTTAAAATATAATATTATATTAATATAAATTAATTATTATAACTTACTTGAATTCTTGATAAAAAATTATTTGAAATAATAATATTGCCACTAATTTTATTTTTTTTAATTTCTTTTCTTTCTTGACAAGTTTTACAAGCTTTTACAAAAAGTGTAGTTGCCTATTGTTTAATATTTCCAAAATTATTTTTAGTACAATTCCATAATTCTCTTTGACCACCATGAGCTGATTCAGAATGTAATTTTCCTAGTTGTGAATAAATTTCATCTTTTTTTACTAATAATTTTGGATTATTAGTATTTAATTTTGAATTATAAAATATTAATTTTTTATCATTAATATTTTTAATAAAAAATTTATTTGTAAATTTTCTTCTTTTTGCAGCATTAAAATGTTTTTTTAATCCTTCAAGAACTTCTATAATTTTTTTATAATAAAGATCATCAATTTGTAATTTCCATTGATAATTAGATTTCATCTTATCTAAATACTCATTATAAAGTTGATAAAAAGTATTTTTTGATAAATATGAAAATTCTTCATTATTATCAATATTTTCATTTAAATCAGATTCTAAAATAATTTTAATAATATTAATTATAAGTTTAAAAATTATTAAAAATAAAAATTATATTATAATACTATTATATATAATATTTTATTATTAAGTTAAATATTTATTTTAATTTAAAATAATACTCTAACTTAAACAAAATAAATATTAATATATATTATATAATACTAATATTATAAATATAATTTTTTAATAAAAATTATATTAAATTTATATTTACCCATTTTAAATTTAATATAAGTTATTAATAGTTTTATATTTTATCTAAATTAAATAAATTAATAAATATTAGTTATAATATTTTTAAAATTAATAATTTATAAAAAATAAAATTAAAATATAAAAATATTTATAAAATAATATAAATATTTTTATAACAAAGATTAAACCCATATAAATTTAATTTTTTTTTATTTTAATTATATAAATATATTTTAGCAATCACTTATATGATATTTAACTTTTTTTTATATACATTCTATACAATATGTATTTAGCAATTTAATTAGCTAATATAATAATAGTATATAGTAAGTTAAACTAATACAAAAATATAAATAAGGACAGATATAAAATTTATAACAGTACTTACAATTTGAAAAAGAAAAAATTCTTTTGAAAAAAACAAATTTTCCTATAATCTCATATAAAAAAAGAATAATGCTACACTTGTTTTAACCTAAATATAAAAATAATTTATTTGTAAAAAATTAGGTTTTCTTATTTATTTGGCATAAATATGTGACGAATCATTGATGTGATGAGAAAGCATTAGGCAAATAATTATATTACTTAATTCTTATTAGTCATATCCAATAATTAGTTATATCACTATGCCAAATGGATAATAGATTTATAAAAATTAATTTTACGAACCTATGTTCTCTACTATAACCATATATATTTATATAATTGAACAATACTACTTTGCTAACTACCTTAGAGATCAGTAAAAATTTTTGTATATGATATCTATAGTTAAAAATGAGTCACTACGCAACTTGCAGCATTATGTAACCAGATTAAAATTATACTAGCTAGCCACAATTCTAACTAACTTGGTTTCTAAAAGTCATAGATGCAATACCAATACTCTTTATATCTTCTATTCTTAGTTTTGCATGTCAACATTGTATAACTATCTTATATGTATTATGACAAAATTGATACCCAACTAAAGTAGTAATTTTAGTTAACTAAAGTTATATGTACCTAAAATTGTTAACTAATATATACAAAATATCACAATTTAGTGACTAATTTTAGGCACATAAAACTTCAATCAACTAAGTTGCAACTTAGTTGTAGTCAACTTCAGTAATAATACTCAATATGGGTACAATCTTTAATTTATAATAGTTGTGGTATTTTTTTAAAAAAAATCATTAAAGATAACTTACCAAAAATTTTTGTCAACTTCCGATTGTAAAATTTTTAACACAAAAGTAAATTTATACTCAAGTTAAAATGCATGCATATACTAATTTTTACTATTTATAATAAAATATAGTACAAAACTATATCGGTTTAATAATATTAGGATACTGCTAAGAAAATTTTATAGGTAACAACAAGATAAATTAGCTATTTAACTTGATTTTTAAAATCATATCAAAACTTTGCAGTGCTAAGGTTTATTTTATCTAATTTAATTATACTACATAATAGTTATCAATAATTTATAAAAAACAATATGCATAGAGTTTTACATATGCTAAGCTATTCGTGAACTATTCTAGTATGGGCTGGAATTAAAGACAAATTTGGATTTTTGTGTTGGGTTTGAACTCAAATGTTTAGACGTATGTAAAAAATAAATAAGGCTTAAAATATTCAAGTTAGAATCTAAAAACCAATAGATAACCTATATTTAAGCTAATTGGTCAAAAATTAAATAATATTTTCTAGACTGGAACACAGGCCCTTACTATTTATTATCATGGCTTTTTGATTGTCATGTTTCTCAGGTTATTACCTGTTTTACACAAGAGTTCACCTGTAATATAAAATTTGTTTTGCAATGCTTTTACTATATTATGTCTTATGTTTTCATTAATCTATCTTATTTGTTTTTGCATGATTTAAAGTTGTGCGAAATGGTGCTTGCTGTTATAACGGTTTACTTCATATCAGGAACGAAGTTTGTGCAATGTACAATGTAGTGTATGGTTTACATGTGATTCAGTGATCAATCCTTGTGACTTTGTGTATCACCTCGAACGATGCTAAAAAGTATGCAATATCTACTTGATATATGATGAAAGAAGTGTAGTGTCATTTGGCAAAACCATTTTGAGCAAATGGCGAAAGTCGAAGCCTAAACTGGCAAAAGACGAAAGACGAAACTTCCTGGCGAAGCTGGCAAACCTGACGAAATTGGTGAAACTAGCGAAACCTGGCAAAATCCTGGCAAAAGACAAAAGACGAAACTTCTCGGCGAAACTGGCAAACCTGATGAAATTGGCGAAACTAGTGAAACCTGGCAAAATCCTGATGAAAGACGAAAGACGAAACTTCCTGGTGAAACTGGCAAACCTGACGAAATTGGCGAAACTAGCGAAACCTGGCAAAACTGGGCAAAATTCTGGCGAAAGGCAAAACCTAAAAACTCAGCGAAGATCAAATCCTCTAATACTTGAAAAAGACTAAGCCATTTTGATGAATAAAATATTTTGTGTAGCTATTAAAAAATGTATTGAAATCGGGCGATACGGCGAGTCAGTCCAAAACCTTGCATAACCTACAGTTGGCTTAGTCGAAAAGAGGCAGTTAGATTTGGTCAGTGGTTTGGATCCATAGGTAAGTATTTCTTCCTTTCTTGTACTATGTTTTTTCTTTCTTGAGCTGTCTACTAACTTTAATCCTCACTACTTCAGGTAATTGGACAACACGTACAACCTCAACTATCACACTTCTTCAGATAGTTGGAACGATATAACCATGACTGATCCTGGTACTTTAGGATACAAAAGCCAGATGTGGTGTAACAATATTACGGGTTAGAACAGATAAATGCAAGGTGCAGGTTTTTATAGTCTGGGAACTTAGTAATTAGTTAATGTATTAAAGGAGACGTTTATGTATTTATTATTATAATGTAAAGAGCTAGTTATTATTTTAATAAAGCAAAGTACTGAGAGTCTTCCCCCTTTCTCTATGGCCTTTATGGCCTTTATTTATTTTAAAATTCTTTATTTACATTTGTCATTCTACGTCTGCTACAACTAATACGTTTACTACGTCTACTACTTCATTTCCAACTCATGCTTATCCGACATGACCTTCGTGCTCTACGTAGCCATAGTAGCCTATATAGCTGAAATAGCCTAAGTAGGCCAGGTTACTCTAATTTGAAGTAGCAAAAGAAAATTAGAATTCAAACATTTGATGAAAATAATTTGCACGTGACTTACATGAAAAATGTACAAAATAATAAACAAACCGATAACCACTTGTTTGTATTCAATTACTATTAAAGGAAAGCTAGAATACAGGTTATAGAATTTATAATTAAATATACTCTGCCTTGAAATTCAAGGCTTAAGTATTTTATTTTAGAATCACTTATTTATTGTAGTTCGGTAAATCAGCAAGTCTGTCGCTAGTTCCTTCCAATTCTCATGTAACCTTTGGTTACTAAGTCGAAATTATGGATGGACTCAGTCAGTTACAGTCAGTTATCGGTCAGTTATTACTAGCTAGTCATGGCTATAGATGATCAATTATTTAATAAATTCATCAAATATTTAATTAAGTGACAAACTAATTGTATCAATTGTATGTTGGTTTAATAATCATATCTGTTGATCTGCATTATCTAATAAATAAGTAGCTGCACGACGTTGTTACGCAAAAGCAGGAACGGAAGATGGATTTTCAGATCAAGTTGCAGACGAAACTGCTTTCATCATAAGTTTTTTGTTTGCTTAACTTTTCTAAGTTTTATTTGCAACTTTAAATTAGATTATATGTGCAGTAGGTCGAATACTAACTATGTTATTTAGGTGGACTTT